GCTGTCTTAGAGGCTGTTGGTTCTGCTTTCAGTCATTTTTGTTCTTGGTTTATCCGTTTGTTAGCGGTCTAGTGTCCACAGAGTTCAAGAAATCGATTTCAGCTCTGATGTCCTTTTAACAGGAAGAAATCTCCAGCAGAACCAGGCTCAGGGAGGGGCGGGGCCATCTGCTGCGACCAGTTGGGGGTTTTAAATACTCTAGGAACAACAAGTAGGCCTGCAGTGTGAGAGCGAAGTGCTCTAATAGGGTGATATGGTACTACAAGGTCATTAAGATAAGATGGGGCCTGATTATTTAAGACCACACAAGCTTTTATGGATCATCTTCAAACTTCACAGCAATATTCTGGGTCTTGGGGGACATGAGTACCTAGGTTGGCTAAGTATTTCATCTGGACACTGACTAAACCGTATTGAGTATGTGGTATAAAAGGGCATGGAGAGAGCTGAACAACCACGTCTTATCTTTTCAATACGGTGTCTTACATCCCAGTGACACCATAACAAGCTGACGCCAGCACGTTGTCATAAAACATCATAAAATGCACTGTGAGCTCTTTGGGAGTTTAGAAAATATAAAGATGAATCATTTATTTACCATTTAGCCTCCAAAACATTCAAGTTTTTGTGTCCTCGTCGCTCTTGCTGTGTTCGTTTTTGGTGCTTCTGTACCGCCTGAGCTGACGGCTGTGCGTCTCTGGCTTTTTTCTCACATCCTCATTTTTTCCACATAATTTAATGCTATTCCTTTAACTGCTAGTTAAATGCACCTGGGAATAATTGAATGTGTGACTGCTTGGTAGTAAAGACAGATGTTTATGTTTTCATGCAGCGCGCACGCTTACTGATAGCGTTAGGTTCACCATATTTACATCCTGTGATCACATCTCTGTTTCCTACAATACAGAGGAAATACTCCAGCATGACTGACCTCTGACTGTTTCCCATACAGACTCCCAAGTTGCTGTTAATTGTAAGCTGGCTACCATTACCATAAATTAATACGTATAAATAAAAAAATGAATTTAGTATATTTGTTCTTTGGCCTCCAGGATAAAAGCTGTTTTGAAGGTAAAGATAACGTTGTTTGTGAGACACGCTGCTTCAAATGAAAATTTCTGCCTTTTGTCACAGAAACATTAGAGACTTACACACTTCATCAACCTGAGCCTGACTCACAGTACGGATGTTCAGCAAGCAGTGAGGATCTGCATAAAGAGTGCACTGAAGGTGATTATAGGAAATGTGTTCATGCTATAAACTGCCAGCTTCTTTTTCCTCCTTTCTGTCTCTCCTGAGTCTCTCAGCCTTAAAAAAGCTCAAAGACGAGTACCAGTTAAAGCAGATATATGACAACGGCATGCGGTGTTTTGGCTGAGATCATTTTGCACTCCTGCGGTGCAGGTCACCGTGTCACATCAGGAATAACACAAGCTTGCAAGCTTCATTTTGTTGTCATCATTTGAAGCGCCACTTGAAATGGCAGTGTTTCTATTTTAGGCTTCAGACAGAGACGTTTTCTTTTGGTCCCAGGATGTGTTCAAAGGCAGCAGGATGGTGCTGTCGGAGCTTTGGGATGGAGGCAGAGGTGCTGCGCTTCATCAGATATGATCGCAGCAGACAGCACTGAAAGTTCAGAGTGAAAGGGCAGAAAGCTCTCTGTCTGACTGGACCGCTGCCTTGGTGGCGCCAGTTCAACGACACAGCGACCCTCGTCGTTTCTTTGAAACTCACATTGTGCTATTTTGTATTCTATGAACTGTTCAGCTTTACATTTCTGTTGCTACTGTCCTTTTTATATTCCAGTGTTGTGTTTTCAGAGACGAGACTTCCTGCTGCTGTTGCCTTAAAAATGTCTCTCTGGGATTATTTTCAAAGCAGGTGAAAAAATGAGACATTAAAACAAATTCTTTAATTTTCTTTGCTAGAAAACAGAAACTGTAACCATACCCCGAGGCTGGGGGGCGAGCCCCGAGCAGGTCGGATTCTGCAGCTGAAGGACGCTGGCCTTCCAGGGACCCTGTGTTTTTTTAACTGTCCAGTTCCTGATAAAGATCAGCAATCTGGCTGCTCTATTTTTAGTAAAGATATTACTGGCAAGGAGGGGATGGAGACTCCAGCTTTGTATGCTGCTTGCTTCCTGCATCATCAGGGATGGCTGTTCATCAGCAAGTACTGTCTGAACCCCACTGCTGTGCCCGACGCTTCAAACTATATGATGATCGGCCTCATTAGCAAAACATTAAAGGGTCTCAACTCCCCACATTCAGAACTCAGTCGCCTGTGTTTAATTGAAATGGGATAAGGCACATTGTGGAAAATGAGAAACGTTATGACAGAAAGAGTTCGTGACCTGATCCGACCTCTGGTGGTGATCAACAAGAATTCCAGGCAAAGCCGACGCCCACTGTCCTAAAACCACATTCACTATCTGGTGTACAGAATCAGAAAGGGTTTTATTGCCAAATGTTGAGCGGGTTTACAACATTAGGAAATTGCTGCGGTGCTTAGTACGGTACTGTGCCCTGCATTTCTTTTTGTTTGCAAGTCTTCTTGAGCCGTAGTTGTCAAATCTTTCAAAGTTTTCCTTTGGACATTGGCTGCTTTTTCACCCATTTTGAGTCCTTGTGCCTGAACATTTCAGAGGATTATTCTTTGTTTGGTTTTTGGTAGTTGAACTACTTAAAACTGACCTCCGAATAACTGAAATATAAAAAGACAGCTAACTCAAGAGATGAACCAGAGTTGTGTTTACAACATAAAAAGAACCTATTTTAAATTGGGCACCTTAGTTTTTAGCAGCCTGTTGCAAAAATATAATTTGCTCCCTTTTTTTTTTAAATCTATGCAAAATATCAAAGACTACATAATCTGACAGGCAAAAAACAGAAGTAGCAAAGTGTTTCCCAAACTGCTGCAATGTGTCCTAAAGAAAGTTGAGGAATGTAGAGGACAAAAATGAGTGTCAGGCCTAAAGAAGGGAGAAAATCTTGCAAAGCCCCTTGAGCTGAGAAATCGTTTGCATGAATTAAAACACTTTACAGTAAACACAGTTACTACTTCGCTCCTCCAAACACCTTGACTAGAAGCAGTGTGATTCTCTCCTCACAAGTTGTTCTCTACTTCCGGTCAACATGATTAACCCTTTGATTAGGATTGATAATTCAAGTCCACCTTAAAACTGGTGCATTATATTAAAATCTGTCATAATTCATTATTCTTAGGTCATCCAGCTATTTAAGTTGATTTTGAAGGTAACATAATCCTGAAATGAGGTTTGCAAACATTTGATAGTATACTATGGAATATCCTGTACTATGTAGAAGTAGAAGTAGTAAGTAATTAGTAGTAATTATACGATGAGTGGGGCCTATTTCAATTTTCCCAGAACAATATAAAGAAATGAAGGGTGAAACGTGTCTGATTGTCCTGTGGTGTTTGTGTCTGACTGATGTGCTACAGTGTGCTGAATGTTTTGCTGCTGTGGGGATCATTCACAGGGGTTCGTAAAGAGCTCTGTTGGAGCTCTGTTCGCTCCACTTCCTCCCTCTCTATCTGCCAGTGCAGTTAGAAGCTAACCAAGACCAACATCAGCCCCACTAAAATACTTTGTGTTTCATTCTGATCCCAGATTTTATAGATGTGATGAAGAGGGAGAGTAACTCGGTTACTCAGAGTTTCACTGAACAGCCGTACGTCAGGGAATAATGATGCATGTAATTACAGACAGATCAGCTGCTGTGTCTACTTGTTGATTGAGCTGTGCTTGGATTGCTGAGAGATGTCAGTGTTTCCTGCTCGTGGACTCTGGGGAGATGGCGACGGGCCTTCTGGTTGGCAGCGTCTCAGCTGTAAAACCTCCTGGCTGAAAACCACGCAAATGCTGTTAAATGAGTTTCACTGAGGAAAAGGAAAGTTCTTGGTTTTGTCACTGACGTTTGCCACCTGATGCAAAACCATCACAAATAATTTGTGAATAAGCAACACTTTACCTTGACACTAAAGTACATATACAGCTTATATTTGAACTGCTGCTATGACTTCTGTTCACACCATGAAGTACTTTATGGTACTTTTGTTACAAGTTGTACTACTGATGTTACCACTCCACGCATCTGAGACTCGATGGCAGCCCGAGTAAAGTGGGCTGCTGTGGTTAGGTCTCAGGCCTTTGAGGTTCCTTTTTTCATAGGTTGAAGATGGGAACGGATACATCAGTCACACAGATACACAGCTGCAGTGGTAACCAGTTCTGTGTGTTGGTTTTGACATGGAAGGATGCTCAGACTGGTGAGTCTGAGACAGCTCTGCAGGGCCTCGTTTGCTTTCATCAATAAATAAAGAATACATCAAAAACATAACAGTAGTAAAGGAAAATGCTACACAGAGTTTTATATCAGAGTAAAGAAAACTACATGCAGAGTTGCACGATACTGGCTCATCTGCAACCACAGTTATCCCAGACGATTATAGAATATGAATTTTATATTATAACTGTATGTCACTGAATGTTGTCAAGTATGATTTGCACTTTAAAATGTATATTCAAAAAACAGAACCCAATTTTTATGACACCTATTAAGCTGATTGTGAAAGGAAGTTACTGCCTTCAGTTTTCATGCTGGTCACTTTGTTTCTTCGTCGGGATTGTGCAAAGATTTTCTTGTCCTTTGTAAAAAAAACATAAAAATGCTCCTTTGTGTGATATAAATGTGAAGTCTTTACTTTGGCTTTTCATTTACAAACATACTAAGTGCTGCTGTAAACAAACACTTTCTATGCAGGTTTTATTCAGTATCTGAGCCATAATTGTCTCTGTCCAGCTAGATTTTGTAATGCACCACCTGTACAATGCAGAGGCAGCTGTTGTTGCTTCTTCTGCCACTGTTAACACAGTTTTGGTTTTGTGGTGGCAGAGGACGGATCAGCTCCTCCGTCCCAGCCTGCCCTTTACGCACTAAAGCTTTAATCGGTGCCCTGGTTACATGATTACTGTCTGTGTGTCGGCCCCTGTTATTCTCCTGTTTAGTTGAGCGTTATGACTAAACTAATACTTTACTGTCACGTGTTTTCGCTACTGTGCGTGTGATGTGCTGTCAGGAGGACAGATGTCTTCTTTAAGGTCAGTATTTCATTCATCTGCACACATTTATAGGCAAACCTTTACAACAGGTGTCTCTGTGGTGCTGCCTCTGCATGAACACACATGAAGTCCTCGTAGATGTATTTAAACCATCACTCATAGCGAGCTGTGCGATCTGTGCTGAAACTGGAGCCTCCTGGAGGCTCTTTTTCTTTCCTGGGTGGAAATTTCCTCTTCAGATTCTTTGATCGAGTCCAAACCGTGACGGCACGGAAGACGGGCGCAGATCAACGTCCTGATTTTCTGAAGCAAAGAGTGAGGCGGTGCCACAATGGGTGACTTTAATCATGTGATAATATGTAAGGTGTCGACACGTTACACATTTTAAGTAACGAGCCCGACGATGACGAGCGGCTGTGCGTCTTGGACGCCGGAGACGCGCAACGGCATGAGGAGCTCAGTCTGTTTGGAGCCACCGGCTGAGATCATTCATCACTCCCAGCACTGACCGACCGGCCGACTGAGCAGATAGCGGGATACAAACAGACTCCTTATGTCTCTGTGAAATATCCGTCAACAAAAGATGGATGTCCTCCTCGCCCCCCCCAAAAGATACGACAGCGACGGGTGAGTGAAATCGGAGATGCTGCGCACGGCGGCCAAAATCCCGGAGCTTTTGTGAACAGGGCTGTGGGTGTGTGCGCATCAGGCTCGCTGTTAAACCTTCAGACTGCATTCGCCAACTTCCCCCGCTTTCATCAAGTCATGTCTGATACAGAGCGATGGGCAAGTTTGACGACAACGAGAGGATAATCCTCAACGTCGGGGGGACGAGGCACGAGACCTACAAAACCACCTTAAAGACGCTGCCGGGGACGCGACTGGCCCTGCTCGCCTCCGATTCGGACATCGACTCCGTGCTGGATCAGCTGCAACAAGTCCCCGGCTTCATCGAGTACAACGCGCGGACCAACGAGTACTTCTTCGACCGTCACCCGGGCGTCTTCGCCTACGTCCTCAACTACTACCGCACCGGCAAGCTTCACTGCCCGGCGGATGTGTGCGGACCGCTGTTCGAGGAGGAGCTCTCCTTTTGGGGCATCGATGAGACGGACGTGGAGCCCTGCTGTTGGATGACATACCGACAGCACCGGGACGCGGAGGAGGCTCTGGACGTGTTCGAGCTCAACGTGGACAACGGAGACGAGGACGACGAGATAGGGAAGAGACTCGGCATCGAGGACGTGGCTGCCGACGGGAATGTCAGCCTGTGGAGGAAGTGGCAGCCGGTAATCTGGAATCTGTTCGAGGACCCCTACTCATCCAGGGCGGCGAGGGTAAGAGCGCACCGCTGCGTCTGAGGCTCTCCAAAACACACAATGAGCTCCACTCTGCTAACTCTTTGCCTTTCATTCACAGAAACAAACAGCAGCTCACGCTGTTAAGGGTAGCTCCACAGTTTCACTGCATGAGTCAAATTCACAAGTTGGCAAGTTGTCTCGAAACTTGTCCACCTCCCCCAAAATGTGAGCGTTGCGCTCCTGAAGTGTTTTCTTTGCAACCAAAGCTTTACTGTGAATAGGAAGAACCCACTGCTTTATAGTGAATCCTGCTGGTTTCCAGATTTAATTATGCCACTTTAAAAATAAGCAGATTTTTCCAGTCATGATCAAACAAGGTGCCAACAGGGTGGATATTCATAGCAGCAGTGTTGTATCCTGTATCTGTCTCTCAGTGCTTCCTGTTTATCGGCCCCAGCTTGGGAAATATCACTCCATCACTGACACTATTTAGATCACAGCCAGCCTTTTCTAATAAACTGCATCTCAGCACTGCTCCAAAGAAATGTGTGGGACTTTCATCTTTTCTAAAATTAGAGCAGTGCCTCGTGCTGGGAATAATAGTGATGTCAACTTATAGGCCACATGTGGCATCTTCATCTTTCCTTTCTGCTCATCTTTTAGTTATTTTAGACTCGAGCACAATGTGAAATCAAAGGATTTAACCACCCGGCTCACGAGGCTTGTTGTTTACTGAATGTGCAACACCAAGATGTTAGAACCAACCCAGACAAGCACATGCTGCCCTCAGGTGTTATAAATCAATCAGCAAAAGTTTGGGAATAGTTCATTCAGTCTCTCTGCAGAAGTCCACATCTGGAACAGCTGCCTGTCTGCTTTCAGAGCAGGAGCTGTGGTAAGCTCGCCTCAGGCTGCTGGTATATTCTGGGGCAAATTGTTCCCTCATTGGCTGATTGATGTGCTGTAAGAGGGAATATGAGCAAGTTGTGATGTCATGTTGTGTAAATGGAAATGATGCCTCACAGTCTTCAGGATGTCTCAGACAGCATGCTGCTGCTGCACAGGTTTGAGTGATGTAGGTGATTTGAAGGGTAATTAAACACAAAGACAGCGACGCAGGAACAAAGCGCTCTGGCGAGGTTTGATCTAAGTGTCAGGGCAACGAACATCTGACCTGACATCACTGTTCAGGGTGTGGTTAGAGGTCAGGGGGGCTGGAAGAGCTCCTGAAGTGCTCATAGCTGAGGCCACATAAACCAGGGCTCAAATCTGTCACATAGAAATGAACGGCATCATGTTTCACTGTGTGTGGTTAAAGGAACGTGTCAGTATCACATTATTCTTCCTCCACTCGTACCTGAGTGACCTGGCATAATTTACAGTTCAAATGAAACCTTGTTTATGTCGTGCTGGGACTCTGTGCAGTCTCTCTGCTTATGCACTGTCTGACATTTTTAACTAACTGTCTTCTGATTCGCTGTCTCATAAATGTAAGGCAGATAGTACTATCATGAGAAGACTACATCAATCATATGGGATGTGTTTGACATCAGAGAGCCACAGATAGAGAAGAAAACTGTCTGAAACGAAGCTTTTACAGTAACAGTATATTGTTTCTGTTACATGCATATATTATGTATAGAAAAAGGCATGATAAATTAGGTCCACTTTGTTGTAATGGAGCTGTTTGTTGTAACCACAGTGAATGAAAAAGAAACATAAATAAAAAAACGCAGTGCTAAAACGAGGCTCCCACTGTGGACGTGAATCAGAGTTCTGCTTGACAGTATTGTGATATTTTGCAATGCCAGCGCCACTCCTCACACCTCCTTCATCAGCCTTTCAAAAAGAGCATTTTGTCTTGGTGTCCATTGTTGCTGCAGCTGCTGTGTCAAAGCTCTGATGCCAGCTTGTTTCTCTCTGCGACACCAGCGGCACTACTTGATCATCCATCTGTGGATTTAATACAACTATTTGTTTCAACACACTGTGATCTTGATGTTAGTACAAGATTAATATTTCTCTTAGCATTATTTAAAATAAATACATTTTGAAAAAATACAGGCAGCGCAGTAAGCACAGCAACAAGAACGTCCTGGGTTTGAATCCCCACAGCTGTGAGTGGTTGTGTCTCAGTCTTGTGACAGGCTGGCCACCTGTCGCCTCGCAGTGCTAGCCGGGATAGGCTCCAGCACCCGCCACCCTGGAGAGGTTGGATGGACTTGAATATCTGTTAGCTGATATTGTTTTTATTTCTTTCTGAAGTTGGTTTTCCCACATTTGTAAGTTTTTACAGCATTTATAATATCCAAAATGTCAACAACCACTGGTCTTTAAACCGGGGACAAAATCATCTCAGAGAAGATCGGCAAATAGAAAGGTGGTGAAGGCTCCTGCAGTGCCACTTGGAAACTGAATATCCTCACCACGGCACGATTGTTGCATCCAGTACAGCCCTTTAGCTTTTTCACCCATAATCCTCGGAGGCTCTGAAGGCGTCCGTAAGTCAGGCACAAATGCTCCGCCCACAGGCTGATATTAGGCTAGATATAACCTACAGCTGAGGGAAAATATGCTTTTATCTTTTTTGGTGAAAACATGTAAGCACAAAGTAGATTTCTGTGCTTCGAGCATTTATCGTACCGCGTCTGTACAGAACAATAAGAGCTGCTGTTATATATTCACCACACATCCTGCTCATTGATAAATTTCCCCTCAGTATGTTTGAGTGTTTGCTTTTCCTTTCGTCAGTAAGCTGAATCAGACTCTGCCTTCTTCACGCAGCAGCTCGTCCATCTAAAAAGAGAACAGCAGAGTCCGTTTTCACCATTATATCATTCCTCCTCTTCAGCGTCTGCAGGACCACCATGAGGTTGATGTTTAAATAAAGAAAGCAGAGTTGTTGCCTCGCACAACAACTCATCAGACAAAGTTTGCCGTAACAGCAGGTGATAAGGCAAACATACATTTCTTAATTATGTTGTACTGATACGCTAATTCTATCATAATTCTGTGGTGAGATAAGAATTGTTCCAGTTCTGAAAACTGTGAAAAATTGCAGAAAAGCCAGAATATCAGTGTAAATTTGTTCACTCGTGGAATTGCTACGAGCCCATGTTCTCAGGTCAGAGGAGTCCTCAAAGATCAGCAGGAAATGTAAATGTCCTTTCACTCCTCATTTCAGAGTCTGACTCTATAATTTTACCAAAGTGGAGGTGCTGGGCGGGATGAGAGTGTGTGGGTGGGCAGGTGACCTCGCCCCAGATCGCTTGTCCTCCTCTTTCAGTCCATCAACAGACTTTGAGCGAGGATGACGGCAGGGAATTTTTCCTGTGTGTGAAAAGGCTGACGTTCCCACACAAATTTGAGCTTGGATTTATTTCACATCATTAATCTGTAAATGGAAACTCTAACTGATGGGGACAAAATTCAATCTTTCCAGCCTTTTGTTCCTCCAGACGTGGCTGCTAATTTCTTGGAAGTGTTTCTTGGCGATTACCCTGCTGACAGAGGAAGGAGCAGACGTGTAAGAGGTAAATATTGAGTTAGTCTCCGCGTCGCTTTAGTAGCAGGACGGAGTAGATGGAGATGAATGCTCGTGTTTACAACACGCATACGTCTGTCTTCCTGTAGCAACACTAACCAACCGTATTTTCCTGCCACCAGTACAATAGAGAAGCATCTGCTTCTACGAGCGCCTTCAAACCTTTATTGTCTCCATGAGAATCACATTCCCTCACTGTGATGTGATAATTGCAGCCTTTTTCTTCTTGTTTAAAGCACTCCTGTAGCATTAAAGACCAGCTGGCGTATGGTTAACCTGATAATTCAACTCTTACACAAGTGTTCGGTGTGTGCCTGAAAGAACCCCCTCAGGGCATTAATCTACTCCCTGACAAGGTGTTAAGGAGAGAAGGAAGGGAAATGATCCTCCAAGGAAAGGAAGCATGTCGTTTGAGTTCACCTCCAGCCCTGACACCACAGCGGGGACAGCGTTAACAGTGAAGTGCTCTTTAACAGCAGGAAGATGAGACGCGACTGGATCCTGTTTGATTTGGTTTATGTCATTTAATAGAAACAAGAAAACTTTCATATGTTCTGTTTTCATTTTGATGATTATCTCATAGCGCATGAAAAACATCAGATGTCAGCCTCGTGTACGACGATCCACCACAGACCAACAGGAATTTAATTATATATATGAAAAACAACTTTTCCTTAATTTTGTGAGAGTTACTGCTAACGATGAAGTTCCTCTCGTTGGACTGAAAGTCCCGGTGGTGTCTGTCAGACTCACTGTCACATTACACGTGTGCATTAACCTAACGCAAAATTTCAGCTCTTCTTACATTCATTTGGAGATTATTTATGTTACAGCTGTTACAGTTTTTAGTTAGGAAACCTGTAAAAGTAACTTCAAGTCCCGCCACATTACTATTACTCTACACTGTGTCCTTACATATGCAGAGCTCCCCATCGTCAAAGCAGTGTTGTCAGGTACAGCCAGCTAGCATCAGCCCTGAGCTTCAGGCTCACTGTAATCAGCAGTGTGGGGCATTAGTCTGTGTATAAGGATCGTAATATTCAGGTCAGGTAATCACAATCTATTATGACATAAATCTAATCAAAGCTCATTTCCAGTGTAATTTTCAGTGATAAACCACTAAGAACCCAGCCTGCTGTACAGCATTGGTTACATATGGCTAATGCATCTGTATCGCAGGGTTAACAAGAAGTATAGTCCCTTTGCTAGCAATTGTTACAAACTGAGTAAACACAGAAAGAATGAGTGCATTTGACTCAACAGCCATCCAGCATTTTGGCTGTGCTGCGCTAAAACGAGTTTAGACAGCAGAGGAACGAGTTGTTTTCACCTGCAGGTGGTTATTTCTCAAAAAACTACAGTTAAAAGTCACTTGTTCCTTTGAACATAAAGATCTTCTAATGCAACTACACTGCAGTGAACAGGGTTTAAGAACCAAAGTTCTGACTCTGTAAGCATATACAGCAGTAGTCTAAGGAGCTTGGAAAGAAAA